CCAAGAAAAAAAAAGAGGGGAGAAAATTACTATATTTTTTGAAGCGAAACAAATCTCTTCAAAGAATTCCGAAAAGCTTGTTGTCAATTCGTATATAAAAATGATTAATAGAAAAGTAAATGTAAAACACTACATAATAGATTATTCGTATAAAATAACATTAGCAAATATTTCTTTGTCATTTATTTTTTTGTTTATATTTTGATTACATAATAGATGAAGTCAGTTATTTATAAATTGACACTCTCACTCACATACACACTTTATTTAGCAATTAAAGTTTAACTTGATCAAAAACGATGAACTTATTCAGAAGGTTTACCAGATGTTTGCTCAAATTAAGGGAAACATGATGTGGTTGAGGCGACCGAGCTATATTGGCCTGGCAAAGAACATTGATGTAAATGAATTAAATTGAAAAATTCAAGAACAATTACAGGCGAATCGAGGATAATTAATCAGTTGATTTGGCCTAACTACCAAGATGATGTAGTGAACTATCCACCAGATTTTTAAATCGCTGGATTTACCAGGATTGCCTCTACAATCTCAAGTGAAAGAGATATAGATAGAGATATAAGTATGTTGGAATATCAACGATACCACGTCTTTGCAGGCACAAGGCGGGTTTAGCGATGATTATTTTAGCTAAACAATGATAGAGGAGAAGCACTAATACTGATTTCAAATATATGTTTTAGGGCTTTGTGGAGAGAGGAAGACGATCTCCACTACCGGTTGGGGCGGCGCGCAGTGACAATGTATACGATAGATGTAGATCGTATTATGCTTTAAAGGCAGGTTTTCAAAGGTAAAAGCCGGCTTGCTTTTTTTATATATATCATAGAAGCTCCTTTTATTCACACGCTCGCTCTCTGTGTGAGTGAAAAGACAAATAGAATATAATATATAGAGATACTCTCGCTTAATGTGATTACATGTTCGCCGGAGGTTGGGAAAACCATGAGATTCTGTTTGTCTAAAGATAAGGCGCCAGTACCAAACAAGAAACATCGTAGTATACACAAGTTCACTACAAATGGGAAGTGATTTTTTATAGATATAAACTAATGAATGTGTCAACATGATTAACAAGATAGAGCGATTACTTACTTTTAATTGCGTTATATATGTTTTATTTAATTATGAAGAGTGTCAGATATTCACAAAGGACCCTAATCAACGAGGGTGAGCGGGTTGCTGGTCAGGAGATTTTGGTGCGCGACTATAAATTGGATGTAGGGAACAGAAACGTTGTCAACAGTTTACAGAAGGCTTTTGGACGAGGACGAAGGTCTGGTACGCAGGGTCCGCTAGTATGTTTATAAATTGGATATGTAAAAACGTATGTTGAAAGTAGCTGCGTAGATTTCAGGGATGAGTGAGATGGTGGAGATGCTAGACGAAGTGGGGGTTCGAGAAGCTGGACATTTTGTGTGGAGTTGACATTTAAATTGTTGGATATGATGTTTAGAAGTTACGCTTGCAGTGAAAAGTCGGAACGCTTTGGTTGGAATTGTAGAAGAGTTGTATTGAAATTTGCGTTTAAAGAAGTGTGTAGTGTTTTTGCACCACATTGTTGTGGATTTGTAATGGTAGGGGAGGGGTAGGGGCACTGATGTGTAAGATCTGTGGTGATGGGATGAAGCTGGACGGTGATTGGTAGAATGATTCCGATGTTCATCCACGGCCATGTTGGAATGACTGATATTTCCCTTTGCGCTAGCTTATGAGTGACGTTGGCGAAGACTAGGAGTTTAATTGGTCGAAAGACGGGTCACTAGCGCGGGAGAGAATCTTGACTTGGTGGATGTTAACTAATGGTGTGGGTCAGGGCAAGAGACTGGAGAATTTGGATGATGAATGGAAATAACAAATGGAAACAGTTTGTGGTGGGTGGGATGAAAGAAAGACTCAGAATGATAGAAACGAGGTGTTGTGAGGTTTGTTTTGGCGAGAACGCTCATGTAAAATTCAGGGAGTTTCAAGAATGGAAATGAGAGACCTGGCAGGCCAGTTCGCGATAGAATGTCCTAGACTACTAATCAAGCAAAAAAATTTTAAGTCAAAAAGCGTTGGAGGCGGTATGTGTTTTGAAAATGCCCCAAGAGCTGTCGTGTGAAGGGAAGAAGGGAGAAATGAGCACTAAAATTTCGAAATAACTAAAGCGAGTGTCATTCGGTGTGAATACATAACTAGTATAAGGAAATAAGTAATAACTATTTGACTGAAGGCGAGAAAAGTATGAATCGCGCCCTACTTAGTGAAGAGAGGTGTTCGAATAGTAGACAGAAGGAGATGAGTGGTAGCTGAGCTCGACGGGTATATGGCGAGAGTGAGAGACTCGTGACGATATTTAATTTCGACGAGGGATATGCGATTCAAGTTGTTGTCGTGGTGCGAGTTGGACTCAGATGCTGTGCAACGTATTTAGCTCGGAAG